CTCAAACTTGCAGCTCGAATGAGCTCATGGTGACACGCGTACATTCCAATTTTCCTAGGACTAGTATTTTAGTGGAGCTCAGAACTTCACATCTGCTAAGAGACATCCATTGTACGTCTTGAGTTACGAGTTAGGGAACCTGTATAGATCTGTAACTTGTTTTTATGATTTGAGAGGAGTTGTGGATGTCCCATCCCTGGAGGGGTTCAAGGCCAGGCTGGATGAGGCTTTGAGCAACCTGGGCTGGTGGGAGGTGTCCCTGCCCATGGGACTCGATGATCTTGAAGGTCCTTTCCCACCCAAACCATTCAATGATTCTGTATGTCCTACAGATTGGCAGGGACCAATATTCTTGGCACATAACTCATACAGTTTCTTCTAAAGAGCTTACTTTTCTTCTACTTGAAAACATCTAGTGGTCCAGCAGTGAAGAGTTCCTCTCTGGGGCTCTTGAAGCTCCTCAGCCCTGTCAGACCACCACGGCCCTGGGACCACTCATTTCAATGCAATAACAGGACTCCAGGCTCATCAGAAGAACAAATGATGGAGAGGGTTAGACATTTTTATTTAATCTGACCCAGTTTGGTGTATTTTGGATAACTCCTCCCTCTCCCTGCAGCTCTCTGGAATTCCCCAGATGGGGATGAGCTTTGCTAATTTGGCCTATAATGGGGAACAGCTTCAAAGCAGAACTGTGGGAATGGTGTGGGTGAAAGTATAAGCTCAGTATGGAAATTGGGATCTTCTCTCTGTTCCTCTTGCCTCAATTCCTACCAATAATTTCTCACCTTTTTTCCCTTGTGAGCTTCTCCGGAGTCCACACAGAGATTTGTTCTTGAGCTTGAGTGTTCTCAAGGTGTCATTTGGTGCCTCTGGGTGAGGTGCAAGAGGTCCTGTTGCTTGGCTTTCCTAAGACAGTCTTCCAAGGGTTTGTCTAAGGAAGATGACTTTGAGACCTACGTTGTTCATCGAGGAATACTGAGATGGTTCTTTTCCCAAATACAAAAATCTTGTTGATGACAGATGCAACCGCCAGCGGATTGTCCAGGTTCCCCTCCCCAGGAGCTGCTCTAACCTTGATCCCATCGTGAATGCTGGTGCTGTCGTGTAATTTAGAGAAAAATCTTCCCCTCAAAATGATGTTTTTGAGGAATGAAGTCACCAGCTGTGTTTATTTGAACTGCACAATCCATGTAAGACTGTCCCTGTGTGCGTAGCCGTCTCCAGTACACAAAAAGAGATTCCCCCGTTCTGGATAATTAATTTACAGTGGATGTCTCTTTTCTGGTGTGCGTTTGAACTCTTTATTATTTGTCCATTGTAAAGGGCTTAACGGTTCCTGTTCCTTGATTCTTTCAGCGGTGAAATGTTTTGGAAGAGAGGTTAGAGTCCCACTGTGACCTGCCCTGGGTGGCCCAAGCCTGTAGACCTTGCAAAGACATTACTTTTTTGGCCTGAACACAAGCCTCTCAAACCTTTAGCCTGGCTAAATGCTTTGTACAAACAGCCGCATACTGATCTGCTCTATTCTCTTGTGATTTTCTGCTCAAGGGGCTGTACTGTAGGTGGCTTGCTATGTTTGCCACTTGCCTTGGTGGTGGAGACGGTACAATAAACGAATCCGACAGTACTGAGGCCAACACTGTTGCTTGGTTGTTCCGAGAAAATTATCCTGAAATCTGGTTGAAGAGATTAAAACCAAGAAGAACTGGCTGTGTCTTTCCTCTAAAGCTCCGTTCTCTTCTTTGTTTCTTTTTTTTTCTTTAAGACTTTGTTCATTCCTCCTTCAAAATAAGTTCATGGCATTGGTATGTAAAATGTGACCTACGATTACAGAAGGTACAGCTATTTTTATAACAACCGTGGGGTGAAGCATTGCATTCATTCCTCTTCGGGCTCCTTACAGCCAAGTGCTGTAGCAGATTTCTTCTGGCGTCCGAGCTCATTTCTTCTGTAATACAAATAATATGATCTCATACGTCATCTCACTTCTTGGATGTCAAGTGAATTGTTAATGCAGTGGAGATTCCAATGTGTTCTTTTAATGAGAATTACTGTTCAAAGCAATGTTGGTTCCATGTGCTACCATCGTTGTAATGCGTGGTGTTAAAGGGCAGCATCGCTCCGGAACTCTTCCAGCCTTCCTCCCGTGTGGTTCCTTAGTAAAAGCTGAAGGTGAGCCGCTAACTGGCAGCCGTGTCTTGGGATGGAATCTGTCTTGGGTTGCTCGTGACCAGATGACAGTAGGGATAAATTCACGAGTCTTGTGAAAACATTCAAGACCCAGTCACAGGCATTTTCTCATGAGGGTTTGAAATTCATGCTTTCGGGAAGATCTTAAATTTCACAACTCCGTGTGTGCTTCTAAATAGATTCCTAGCAGCTGCAAAGCCTTTAAATCCAAAATAGAAGGGTGGTTTTTTTTTTTATTTCATTTCAGTCCTTCCAGGGTTTCTATTTTCCAGTATTTCTTCAAATATAATTAGCAACATGATGTGTCCCCATCCTCAGAGGGGAGGATGTAGTGGTTCAGCCAGTTTGTTGGGTACCTCAACCCAGCACTGAGCCACCCAGGGCAGTTTCATCCCTCGAGAAGATGCTCAAACGTTGTTTCTCTCATCTAAATATTTGTAGCTTCTTAGGTACATGCTTTTTCCAAAGCAGGGGTGTTTTAGGATTGATGTGGATTTTGGGATAATTTTTCCAGATGAGACAGTGGGGTGTACAGCAAATGTGTAAAGATGATTTATCCCTTGCAGATCAGAGTCAGAAAGCTTGTGTTAGTCCTCCCTCGCGTGTGCGCTGGCTCAGGCAGGCTGCAGTGAAATTTTATAGCAAACATACATTAAAATGCCTTTACAGTTAGAATTAATTAAAACAGTTTTTGAGGGTTAAATGTAAACTCACTTTGGACTATTTGCAGCCTAAATATTGCAGCGGCGGTCAGTGAAAGTGGCTGGAAGCAGCTCCTATCTCTGTCCTGTCCCATCCTGTGTAAAAGCGGCAAAGTCCATGGGCACAGCCATGGATGGTTTCTCCTGGCTTGGATTTCCTGTCCAAAATCTAAATGTGAACAGTCACATACACACTTTCTCTTTTTATTTTTTATTGTTTGTTTCTAGTAGCAGCGTTGGATAAAAGTAATGGGTTTACAGGTGTGTTTGCTGTTGTCCTGCAGCCGTTGTCACTTGAGTGATGACTGCAAAGATGAGTGATGGTTTCAATCTTAGAGCTCCTCTGGCATCAGAAAATATTAAAAAATGAAGCCTTGGATGTCTGAAAACCAGCCACTGTGCCCCTGGAGGTACCTGTGTCTGTATTGAAGGATATTCTCCATCCCAAGATTTTAATGGAAGGTGAAGCAAGAAAGCTGACAAACGACCCTTCTTTGGTTTCCAGAAATAAGGCAGTTGAGGAACAGGGCTGAATCCCGATGTCTAATTCATTAGTCTCTTCTCGTTAGAGCCATGGGGACTGCTTGTATGACTGGGCTGCTATAGGAAGTCTTGAAAAATAGGACTGCAATAAAAAATAGGACTGTGATGATTTGTTTTCCTTCTTTTATGGCATTTGCTCAAAAATGAGATAACTTTTGGAAGGAGAAGCGTTCAAGGAGAAGACCAGCTGGCATGAAATGACACTGCATAGTGTTTAAGGACAGGACAGGCTTTGTCCTTTAGTACCTTTGTGCAGTCATGGAGACAGAAGGCAAAATCCTCCGTCCTTATTGCCGAGCCATCCTTAGTCCTCAGCTTCGTGGAGCTGCAGGAGCTGTTTTGAGGGTTCCTCTATGGTAAAAACCAGAATAATTGGCCAATGATGGCCTCTGGCATTACATACCTTAAAAATCTGATTTTCCCTCCCTTCTTCTTTCTGCCATCACACTCGGTTGTGTCTCAGGAAAACACTTCGTTCCATCATGCAGCATCTTCCATGTGTGCAGGAGCAACAAAGTTCATCCAAAGGCAGAAACTCTTTGAGTCTTTCATGACGTTGAGTTGTGGCTTCAGAAATTAGGTTCCCTCGGTGCTGAAAAGTTGCACGGAGAACGGAGATAAAGCCGTTACTTCTGTAACTAAAGGGGGTGAAAATTAAGTGAAGTTGGGCAAAATCCACCTCAGGCGCATCTTCAAAAGACACACTTGAATATGTGCAGTCGTTGGCTTCATGAGCACTACCAAGTGAAAACTGTTAAATGGCATGGAAGAGCTAAGGTCCTCTACTGTGGATTTGTTCAAGTCCCACTCAATGGTTTTAGACTTGGTTTAAATAACAGACTAGAAGAAAAATAAATGACTTAAGTAGGAAATTTTGGCCAGATTGCACTGGAAGGAGGTAAATGTGGCCTTGGAAAGATTCTCTTCACTTTAGAAGCCAACGTTATTCAGTTGTCAGATGTCTTCATCCAACATAAATAAATATGCCACATAATGGCCGCGATTCTTCCCATTTGGGGTGACTGTACGCTGGCAATAGCGCACCGTACCAGATAATGCAAATAATCTGCTGCCGAATAATTAATGATGCGGCTGGGCATATTTTTTTGATGAATGCTTATGGAGCCTGGTGACAGGCGTGAAATTAGAAAATTCCTTCAGCGCCCTAAAATATAAATAGCTTTCGGAACTGAAAAGAGTTTCACAGCTGAAGATTTTATTGTGTTGAGAGGAAAAACTTTTCCACCCCCATCCCCCCTTTCTTCTCGGCAAGTTGTTTGTCCATTCACAAAACAAATACTCTGAAGCCCAGTACGGCTCATGGGAATAAATTTCAGGTCGAATTAGTACAGTTTCCTTGCTGTCAGGACGGTGGAATTAATGGTGTTTTGATGACACGAATTTTGAAGGGCGAACAAAGACGCTGAAGGGAGGGAGACATGACTCCTTAGAAGCGCGGTCCTCCTCTCCCCCAGCCTCTCTTGTCTTCCCTGTCATCCGTCTGCCAATCTCCCTGTCCATGGTTAGTTAAAGGCGCTTTTTATCCTCTTTTCTTTCCCACAGAGTTTGCCAGATCCGGCCCAGTGCCTGGGTTCCAAGGGGACACGCTGCAGTTGGCCTTCATCGACTTGAGACAAGTAAGTCTTTGTGTTTTTGTTTTTTGTTTTTCTTTTAAGATGTGTGACTGAAGACCATCAGGTCTTAAGGAAAGGGGAGAGGAGGGGAAACGGCGTCGGTAATTTACGCCAGAGACCTATATTCCCCCCTCCTCCTCCTCCCTGCGCTCGAAGCCACCTCCTCATTGACCGCTCTGGGGTCCTGGAGATGGTGGAGGTGAAAAGGGCTGGTGGTACGGGGCGAGAAAGAAAGCCATGCCTGACCCTGGCTGATGGGGTCCATTGTGCTCCCGTTGGCTTCTGCAGACGTGGCGAAAAGATAACTCGGCGACTCTCCCGGCTGACGCCAAGCAGGTGGTGCTAACAGAGAGAGCAGTGATGCAGAGACTGCCCGCCTCGAGGACTTTTGTTCAGAGATAATGCCCGCAGAGGCGTTTTTGCGAGGGCGGAGGAATTTGCATTCGTGCTTGTGTGGGGAGGGTATGAGTTTGTGTCCATCTCTGGCTCGGCTCCCCCGTCCCCGGTCCCCTCTTCCGCAGATGGTCCCCAGCCATGAATGACAAAGTAGCTGTTGGGGAAGATGATTGGGGAAGGCTCCACCCATCGGTGCCTACCTCTTGAGGGGGCCTTGTTAGAGCCAAGTTGACCATAGCAGGTACTGAGGCATTTGTGGGACTTGGCAAAGCCAATTTATGGAAAAGGGCCATTCTAGCGAGTCATTTGTTTGGGGTAGAAATGGGCATTATTGATATACTAGGCTGGGGGGAAAAAGTGAGGTGGTCCTGTCATCTCTTGGCACTGAAGATGGATGGGTCGGATAGAAAGTCTGAATGAAGTAGGACTCAATGACTGATGCTTCTCTCCCATTAAAACAATCTTTTTTTGTCTGTTAAACCCCCCTGGCTTTGTCCCTCCTGCCATCATGATGCAGTGCCTCTTGTTTTCAGGGTTGATGTAGTTTGCATTCTGAAAACTTTCGGGTGCTGAGGGTATTTCTTGAATCTGCATAATCCCTTGTATCGATGATCTCCTTACCACTGGGACTCTGATTCATGCTGGAGCCTCTTTTAACCCGCAAGGGTTTGAGAACTTCTCTGAATCCAATTGATGTGCAGGGAGCAATCTGTCATCCCATGACACTTCGGCGGAGCAGCAAGAAGTTTAATAACGTGGAGATGTCGCACGTTTGCTTTTCGGACTTGGGCGTTGCGGTAGCTGCCAAATTTGTTTGCGAAATGGTCAAAATAGCTATATGGGAAAGGTATCACCGCTACGCGTTGACACTTTTATCTTCATTAGCTTCTTGGCACTTTATTGACTGCAGTACGCAACGCGCTCGGAACCTCCTGGGTATAAGGAAATGTGGAGGCTTTGGTCCTTTTCCAAGCACGACGACTTGAATGCAGGGATTTTGAAGAGGAAAGCTGTGGCTGTTTGAAGAGTGAAATGCCTTAAAAATGCTCGGTGAGGTTCAGTTGGTCTGAGCCAGTGCATTAGCAGTGAAACATTTCTACAGTTCATAAGTGCAAAACACAGCCAAACGAATTCAGCTCGGGTGAGGAGAAAGCTGAACAGTAGCCCTCTACAATTCCTCCTCCTCTGTCAAATGGTGTTCTTTGTAAATGGCATTTTCCTCTTTGTTTTGGAAGGTAGTCCCAACTTTTTTTCTTACATTTAACAATAATGGCTTTTCTGAATGGTAGGAGGAGAAAGAGGAGATGTTCTGGCCCGTTGAGTTTCGGGTGAGGACAGGCAGTCCTAGATCTTCTGGATAACAGAGATGCTTGTTGGTGCCAAGTGTGGATGCCCCATCCCTGGAGGGGTTCAAGGCCAGGCTGGATGAGGCTTTGGGCAACCTGGGCTAGTGGGAGGTGTCCCTGCCCATGGCAGGGGGTGGGACTGGATGATCTTGAAGGTCCTTTCCAACCCAAACCATTCTATGATTCTGTGAATGGACAGCATCTCCTTGCTCCAAGTAGAGAAGAGTCCACCTATCACTGGCTTACTGAGATTTACAATAATGTGCAAAGATGAGATAGTTCCCAGCTCCCTTGATCCTGTTGATGACCTAATCCCATGACATGTCACCAGAGTCCATCTGGGTGAAGCTCCGTTGGCTGCTCTGGGGCCATCATAGCTCCAGTGCTTCCACCACCATGGTGCTTCTTGGTGGACTATGGCTCCAGCCGCAGGGACTGGGAGCAGCGAACGGCTGGAAGGGTGGATGGATGGAGGTACAGCAAAGAGAGGTCTTTAATTTGTTCTTCCACTTGTTTTTAATTTGTTCTTTTTGGACATTGCATCCTTTTTAAACCTCTAAATGTTAACACAATATTGACTCAAAGCTATGAATGGGGAAAAAGATAACACCTGAAAATGTTTGTGTTTCTGGCTGTTTTCCTTCGCCCACGAAGGAATTCCAGCGTAGCTGCTGAAAGGATGTTTCCAACCTGAAATCCAGATGGGTTTGTCAAAATGTTAAAAGTAATTTCAGGTTTATATTTCATGTAGGTTTATACTTACCTTGGAGCTGTCCTGTCAATTAGTGTGGCTTTGCGTGAGCAGGCAGAAGCAGTCTGGCTTGGTTACGTAGGGAGGAAAAATGACTGGGCAAAAAATGCACCAAGTAAGTAAGGAGATTAAAGAGATTTCCCCCTCCCTTCCCAATGTATTTCAGCACTAACTGTTACAGAGCAAGTGTAGATGAGAGAAGATTTTCAAAGTAATGTGGGAAGATTAAGTTTAAGGGAGCGACCCAGATTTATTCTTAGTACAATAAAATATAAAATGGTAGAAAAATGTAGTGATTTGGTTTGTGTCTTGAATACAGATCCTTGTAGTGGAAAATAAGCCCTATAAAAATGTCATTGTCTAAGAAGATCAGAGTTCCTCCTTGTTCAGTGGGGAAGACTCAAGTGTAAGATCCCTCTGTCCATTGAAAGCCTCATTTTCCCCCTGCACTAAAGGAATTTGGGAGCAGTTCCATCACCGTACGGTAAAAAGAGCCAAGCCCAGAGAATCAAAACTGCTATTCTGAGCAGACAGCAATTTAAAAAGGGACTTTTCTTCCCATCCTGGGACAATTGTAAATCCATAAATAACTGTAATGAAGTGATGGAGTAAACCGAGTCGCATCTTAAATCCTTCTGTAAGAGCCCTTTTATAACGCGGGTCCGACAGCGATGCTCAAATGGTTAAGGCTTTACAAGGAATCAGTAGTTACTTTTTCTCCTTAAAGTTGAAACTTTGCTCTTACACACTCAGTGCTGTATGTTAGAAATCTGAAATAAATTTATTTACATAAGTAACCCTGCTTAAATATGAAAGGCACCTAAATAATTTAGTCGTCTGAACTTTTCTTTCAAAAGTGGCTTAGGCACTTCTGTCCAAACACCATCGAATGTCCGAATACCCCTGAAGATCTCCAGGAGCTCTCAAATCAGCCCCAAGCCTGCACATGCAATAAGTTCTCGGTTCTCTCCGCAGCTTCTGGCCAGCTGGAAATGTTTTAGCTTTTCATTTTCGTGGGTTTATTGTAAGAAAGTTAGTGGAAGAGGAAGGTTTTATGTTTGTCTGTGAAGTCGCTGCAATCCACAGCCATGCTGATCTCTCCTAGAAGCCAGATCGACACTCGTGGCCGCCTGCCAAGGAAAAGCTGCCTCCAGCACTCGAAGAATTTCACTCTGGGCTCTAGTGAGGGAATGTCCTCAGTGGATTAGAGATCTTTAGTCTAGGCTTCTCCGTCTGTCCGGCGAATTATAAATCCTCTGTGTTGAGTTTCCTTTGCAAGTGCAAACTTCAGCATCGAGGGAGATTTCGAGAAGGGCAGGCAGGAGCCCCTCTTGTTGGAGGTACGTGGACAAGCAAGAGATGAGGACAGGGAGGTTCCACTCTTCTGCTCTGTTATTTTTCTGTTTCGCTTTATGGTTGTAACTTGACAGTGACGATGAATTTGAGCATTAGCTCTTCCAACCCCATCAGTAAGGTTGAGACAGGCAAGCGCTGTCGTTGGGTGTGGGGCAGCCCTTCTGCTCACTGCTTGTCCAACAGCAAACGTTTTGTGCGTCTTTTAGCGTGTTCAAAAGCCAGTCGTGGTTATTGTGGGTTCGTGTTGGATGCTGGCCAGCTGGCTGATGAGAGGTCTTCCTCTGATGTGTTAATTTTTCCCTATATACCTCTGATTTTGGTGCTTAATAAGAGTGTTCCCCTCAGGAACACAATTCCCGTCCATCCCTGCTCTGTGCCCTGTTCTTCCCTTCATACAGGTTTCCTGTTTCTTTTGCACTGTTTGCATAGTTATTGCAGGGATTTTTATTTCATGTAGAAGATGAAAAATGAAGTTAGGTGGGAACTTTTAAACCATATGAAATGTGCAGTTGTTCTATCTTTATGTCCATCTTAATTTCCCCCAATGACTTCTGCCCTGTTCTGGCCATGTTTGGTTGGCGGGCTTCAACGGTGTTACAGCCCTACACATTTTTCTGAAAATATGAGCCAAGGTAGAGGAGAACAGCTGCAGTGTGAACTCATTCCTTTGACTCAACCTTGAGAGAGAACCATGGGGAAAGCTGGATTTCTTGGTTCTACGCTTGGTTTTAAGGAACCAAGCTCCGTTGCAGGGAACGTTGAGACAGACAGTGATGCTGGTGTTCGTGGAGATCCAGCTTAGCTTCTTATCAAAACATCAGATGATAAATAAGGTTTTTAAAACTCCATCTGACTTGGTTGTTGGCTGCTTTAATGGCACTTGGAGGCTCGGATTTGTGGCAAGGTGAGCCTGTATCAAGTGAGGTGTAGCCATGTCTCCTACTGCTACCGTGTGGTCCAGGGCTTCCACACCCAGCCCTGGGCACGGTGACCGAGGGGAATCCCTTGCAAAGTGGGGCTCAAGGACCAAAGCCCCATGGGTCTGTGCCTTGACATGACACTGCGATTCTCTGGCTACCTCTCTGCTCTGTTACCCGAGGCAATTTGACGGTAGGAAGGTGGAGACAGTCCCTCCAAGAGCTCCGAGGCAGCATCCAGGACAGCATGCAGGTTCATTCCCACCAGGCAGGAAGCCCTGGGTTGTG